CATCCTGTATAGTTATCTCGTGGTCAGCCGCAAATCTTTGAACTACAGGAATCTGATCGGCAAACTATACCACAATTTGACATGGTCAGATCCGCGATGGAAAATTCCATGATGGGCAACGTTTGGGTTTACTTTCATACGTCTTCTCATACGTCTTAGCTTTGTAGCTAAATTGTTGTCTTGATATTGAATACGATCCATAATAGAGGTTTTTGGGTTAGATCGTGTAAATATATAAATGTGTCGTTAAAACCCGCCACCGCCCGACAGCCAATTCGTACTAGTTGGCTGTGTCGGGTGGTGGCGGGTTTTAACGACACATTTATATATTTACGCGATCCAACCCAAAAACCTCTTATGGATTATATTGGTCGCGAAAGCCTACGTGTTAAATTGAATTCTTTGTTTATTGTTCCACTGCATCCTCTAGAACGTGCACATGTTCACTAGTTTCCTTTAAATTAAAATGATATTGTCTCGCCGATTATCAAGCCATTGGGACAGTGGTTTGTGAGTGTGGCTCTTAATTGGAACGTTGCAAGTTCAAATCCCACTTGGGGTTGACTCAGCCCTTCAATCTGCCAAGGTCCATAAATTGAACATCACTTTATATTCTTGGTTCTTTCGGTAAAGTCACGTAGAAGGGAAACAATAAAATAAAATATATATAAAACAATATATATTATTTTATTGTTTCTCTTCTACGTGACTTTACCGAAAGAACCAAGAATATGAATCCCTGCAGTCACAAAAGCTTTAAATCAGAACATCACTTTGTCAGGAGTCAACAATAGTTCAATCAGAATTTGGGATTTTGCTCCGTTAGCTCAGGAATGAAAACATTAAGTAAGTTCCACCTGATTCTTGATTGTCAGAGGAACCACTTTTTTACTGATTGAATCAGTTTCAGAATCAGAATCTTTGTTTAGACTGGAAAAATCCGATGAGCTATGAAGCTCTTTTTCACAGATGTCCAGTTTGAAACTCTATGAGATGTAATGCCTTGTTCTCAAGGGGGACAATAATTATGATGCCAAATTATTAGTTTGTTAAAATTTCAAGCCAACATGGAGCAATACACATCTTCATTGATAGCCCTGACTCACTCATATCGATTACACATTCCTGTGGTGGAGGGTCAGTGTTTTTCACAAGACCTCTGACTTGTAACAAAAGGTACTTGTTTTTATCATCCTTAGTGGGGGTGGGTGGGGGAAAAATGGTCTGATTCAGCTCACAACCATAATTTTAATTCTAGATTTGAAGTTTTTGTGACTGCAAGGATCCATAATCTTTGGTTCTATCGGTAAAGTCACGACGTGGGTAAAAAAAAAAAATCACGACGTTTCGGACGCAACACAAGCGTCCGTCATCAGGTGGGAACAACCACAGCAAGAAACAATTACTGAAATAGGCAAAAGAGCTGCTGTAACAAGAGGTTATATAGATGAGGGAGTGGGGGTGGAGCCAAGGATAGCGAGGGTGGGGGGGGTGAAAGCAAATATGACATTGAGGGTAAATGACCTGAGGAGCAGGGAGCGGTAAATGACCCGCGCTGCAAACTCGACATGCACGGCAAATTTCCGAATGATGGGAATGAGCAGGGCTTGGGTATGTGTCGAATTAAAAGGGGTTTACTGTATTGGAAAACCTCGTCGAATGCGGTTTTATCGAATGTGTATTTTGGCTATACATGGTTGATTTTAATGAGGTCTGTTTTCCGGAACGCGGAGGTAATGTTTTGGCTGTGCGCTGTTTTAAATTGCTAAGATTGTTGCCAAGAGAGTTATTAGCCTTGCGAGAGGTGAGATTGCTGCATCCGTTGAAAGGTACGATTTGTCGGGCTGGCAATTCAGTGTCGGGGGGCAAGAGTTGTGCGTGAGTGCCGCGGTGTTTGGGGGTTTTTGATTGAGGTGAAATTATAAGAGTGTACAGTAAAACCTTGGATTGCGAGCATAATTCGTTCCGGAAACGTGTTTGTAATCCAAAGCACTCGTATATCAAAGCACTCGTATATCAGTTGTGATCACGTGACGCTCGGCAGACAAAGCGTATATGTACTACTACTCGTATTGCAAGACCCTCGCTCGTTTATCAAATTAATATTTATTTTAAAAATTTGCTCGTCTTGCGAAACACTCGCAGACCAAGTTACTCGCAATCCAAGGTTTTACTGTATACAAATAGAGATAAACTCACTGTCCTATGTCACGATAAAACGGGTATAAATAATGTCGAATTATTTAAACAAAGAGGGGGAGGGGGTAATAAATTCGGACCCAGGAACACAATCCTATTTTTCCCTTGCCTATTACTTGTCGAACGCAGTTGTTTCCCTACCGGTATGTACCAGCCACGTTCGGGGAGGTTTTCCTGTATAAGAATAGGTTTTACCCTTTTAACTGGCACAAAAACTGACACCTTTATTCAAGGCATCATGTTTGCAATAACCACAACACAAGCAGTCAAAATGCAAACAAAAAAGACAACTCTGACAATATTATGCACTGTCCTTGAATTTGATTGGTCCACACCCGAGACAGCTTTTCTTAGAGCCTAGTCTCCATTGGTGTTGGACCAAAAGACGCCAAAAGGCGTACAACTCAAAAACAGCGCACTATCAGAGTATTGAGGGCTCGGGGTGAGCATTAACATTATGAGACCTCCTTTGCCAGAAACAAGATATAAGAATAGGTTTTACCCTTTTAACTGGCACAAAAACTGACACCTTTATTCAAGGCATCATGTTTGCAATAACCACAACACAAGCAGTCAAAATGCAAACAAAAAAGACAACTCTGATAATATTATGCACTGTCCTTGAATTTGATTGGTCCACACCCGAGACAGCTTTTCTTAGAGCCTAGTCTCCATTGGTGTTGGACCAGAAGACGCCAAAAGGCGTACAACTCAAAAACAGCGCACTATCAGAGTATTGAGGGCTCGGGGTGAGCATTAACATTATGAGACCTCCTTTGCCAGAAACAAGATATAAGAATAGGTTTTACCCTTTTAACTGGCACAAAAACTGACACCTTTATTCAAGGCATCATGTTTGCAATAACCACAACACAAGCAGTCAAAATGCAAACAAAAAAGACAACTCTGATAATATTATGCACTGTCCTTGAATTTGATTGGTCCACACCCGAGACAGCTTTTCTTAGAGCCTAGTCTCCATTGGTGTTGGACCAGAAGACGCCAAAAGGCGTACAACTCAAAAACAGCGCACTATCAGAGTATTGAGGGCTCGGGGTGAGCATTAACATTATGAGACCTCCTTTGCCAGAAACAAGATATAAGAATAGGTTTTACCCTTTTAACTGGCACAAAAACTGACACCTTTATTCAAGGCATCATGTTTGCAATAACCACAACACAAGCAGTCAAAATGCAAACAAAAAAGACAACTCTGATAATATTATGCACTGTCCTTGAATTTGATTGGTCCACACCCGAGACAGCTTTTCTTAGAGCCTAGTCTCCATTGGTGTTGGACCAGAAGACGCCAAAAGGCGTACAACTCAAAAACAGCGCACTATCAGAGTATTGAGGGCTCGGGGTGAGCATTAACATTATGAGACCTCCTTTGCCAGAAACAAGATATAAGAATAGGTTTTACCCTTTTAACTGGCACAAAAACTGACACCTTTATTCAAGGCATCATGTTTGCAATAACCACAACACAAGCAGTCAAAATGCAAACAAAAAAGACAACTCTGACAATATTATGCACTGTCCTTGAATTTGATTGGTCCACACCCGAGACAGCTTTTCTTAGAGCCTAGTCTCCATTGGTGTTGGACCAAAAGACGCCAAAAGGCGTACAACTCAAAAACAGCGCACTATCAGAGTATTGAGGGCTCGGGTGAGCATTAACATTATGAGACCTCCTTTGCCAGAAACAAGATATAAGAATAGGTTTTACCCTTTTAACTGGCACAAAAACTGACACCTTTATTCAATAAGGTTTTCCTGTACTTTGTTTTATTACAGTTATTATTCAAATAAATACTTTATAGTAATATATACAAATTTCGGTAAAGTCCCCTAGGTGTAAAATAAAACTAAATCACGACGTTTCGAACGCAACACCAGCGACCGTCATCAGGTGGGACAGACGCAGCAGGAGGACTGCTGACATAGGAGAAAGCGCTGCTGCTGCTGCAACAAGAGTTCATATCGGATTTTGGTGGGCTCACCCCAGGGTTCAGTGGGCTGAGCTAGAGAAGGAATTTCTACGTAAACGTAAATGTGACAGATCAGCATGTCCAATGTGAGACGATCCCAGCCACAGGAGGTGGCGGGGATCCTCCTGTGGCTGCAGCAGCAGCAGCTCTTTCTCCTATGTCAGCAGTCCTCCTGCTGTGTCTGTTCCACCTGAAGACGGTCGCTTGCGTTGCGATCGAAACGTCGTGATTTATTTGATTTTCTACCTACGTGACTTTACCGAAAGAACCAAAGAGTATGGATTCCTGCAGTCACGAAAGCTTCAAATCAAGATATACAAATATGTGTCCCAGCTACGTTGCTGGGTTAACATCAAACATGTGTAAGAATTGATAGATAAGTGCCCAATAAGCTGCTAGGCTTCTATATAAATTTACGTCCTGTGATGATAGAAATGGTATTCGTTGTGGTCATGGTTTCATAGGTTGCGATACAACCAGCAATTATTGGTACAATCAGCAAGTATCGGTACAATCATTACACGTTACAGGAGTAGGGAACCGGTAAAAAAGAATGCCGTACTGTTAGCATTTACCAATTTCATAATTATATATTTTATATAGATTCTGTTTTATTTATTGCCCCTCCTCTGTACTCTGCACCACTGGAAAGGAGAGACATTGTTTGCTGTGTTGGTCTTCGAGATTGGCAAGTCAAGACAATTTTATTTTTGTTTACATAAGTGGCGCCTTTCTGGTACGAATTTTCTCAGTCGGCTTTGCTTCGTGGTCATTCCAGTTGACTTGATTTGAATAAATTGTGCTTCACAGGTCATGGACATCATAATGTATTGTTTGGATGCTTCTACATTAAAGAAGAAGGGCTTGCAGGAGTGTTTTCCATCTATTTGCAAGTATGCGTTTTGCTACATTGTGCATTTGCTATGACACTGTTGTATTTGCCACAATCACTTTTTAAATTTTACTCAATTGATATGCTACTTTTGATTTAAAGCTTTCGTGACTGCAGGGATTCATATTCTTGGTTCTTTCGGTAAAGTCAATATATATTTTTATATTTTTTTTATTGTTTCCCTTCTACATGACTTTACCGAAAGAACCAAGAATATGATATGCTACTTTTCGATTTAAAGCTTTCGTGACTGCAATGATTCATCTTCTTTGGTTCTTTCGGTAAAGTCACGTAGAATGAGAATAAAATAATAAATTGATAAAATAAAATAACACAATAATATTCTCACGACGTTTCGGCCACAACACAAGCGGCCTTCATCAGGTGAAGGGAGCGAGACTGTCTGGTAGGACAGCACTCAGCACTCCAGCGCTGTCCTACCAGACAGTCTCGCTCCCTTCACCTGATGAAGGCCGCTTGTGTTGTGGCCGAAACGTCGTGAGAATATTATTGTGTTATTTTATTTTATCAATTTATTATTTTATTCTCATTCTACGTGACTTTACCGAAAGAACCAAAGAAGATGATATGCTACTGTTTTTATATAGAGTTTAGTAACCTCCACCCGAAACAAATCAAAGTGTAAATCTTGACTTGCAGCTTTCGTGACTGCAGGAATTAATATTCTTTGGGTCTTTCAAGAAAGCCACGTGGATAGAAAAAAATAATTCACCATGGAGGGTGCAATATAATTTTTTTCTATCTACGTGGCTTTACCAAAAGACCCAAAGGAAATGAAAGTGTGTTCTAACATCTCCTTCAGGTTCAACATGGTCAGCTACTGCAGCACCAGCTACCGCATGGTTGTCGGTGCACGACACGGCTCTGTGGCACTCTACGATATCCGCACGGGAAAGTGCCAGGTGAGATTGCACAGCATTTCTTTCGTCAGATTAATGCTGTCATAATTCCACAGATTGTCCAATATGCACAGGTCCCCATTACTCATCAAAACACAAAAAAATCCTTTTACAATACACACACACAGGGTCGCCCATTACCATACCTTAAATATGGAAAATAGTAAAGAGTTTTAAAAATAAGATGCTGAAATGCCAGAGCATCTCGGTGCCATATGTCTCATGCCAATCAGAATCCCCCCGTGGCAGCTGTCCCTGTGTGGCAGAAGATGACTCGGCACTGGCTTGCAATTGGCCAATAGTCTGCCAGTAAGGGGCGATGATTGCTGATAACTTTAAACCTAATTGGAGTGAAATTTTGATTTGAGAAGATGGATTTTGACTTAGCAATCATTGGAAGGATTTGATAAACCATTTCGGGTCTTAATTGATTGTTCACGCTTACGGTGGCTTTCAGACCGCATTCCATTCTCTTCGTCTCCCCCCTCCTCTTTTCCGAACATAGATGGACTCGTCCATCTGAATAAACTGCCAAAATTGCTCTCCGTGGTCCTAACGTTAGGAAAAAACCGCCACTTAAAATTTTCTTGCTGTGTTTTTCACACCTGATGATGATTGCTTGTGTTGCAGTCGAAAGTTCGTGAGAATTTTGTTGTTTTATATTTTTATTATTTTATTGATTCCCTTCTACGTGACTTTACTGAAATAACCAAGAAATCTAATTTGAGTGATTTGCTACATATGACATGGGGCAGATATAATTTATAGCTCCTCCTGCCTTCTGACTATTTCCATGCTTCTCCCCTTTGGTCTTTATTTTTTGCCTAATCGTGTTAAATTGCTTCTCAAGTTTCCTATTGTTTTACCTGTATCACTCACATTGCCTTCTTTTAAATTATTTTGTAATATCCAAATTCCCTATCTTCCCAATGTTTTATTGCCATCTATTTTAACTCTAGAGTAAGTTCTATGTTTTACATATCTCATTAACATATTTTCCTTTGGTGCCCAGTTTCACGAAGAGATAGCGGTTTGCATATGCCATGGTAACAACGATTTTGGTTTGAGAATTATCTCAAACCATCAATTAGGCTCAATCTACCAGGCTGTTGTGCTGGCCACATTTCTCCGCAGCTGCAAGACCCGGACACTCCATGAATGAAATCCATGTGACACCTAAGAATATATTAACCTGGTTTATCATGTTTAACTGAAATCTTAATTCAAACTCAGGATATCAGCAGGACATGAATTTCCACCTGTGGGCAAAAACTTTTTTTAATTCACCGATTATTGTTTTTCTTGTGGTTGCTAGGTTCCAAAATCGTTTAACAGTGCACATCTATTGTTTACAGCCATCATTGCCAATACACACACAATACAGTAAATGTTGCACACATTTCAGTTGGTAGGTGGAAGGTGATTGTCATTTTGTGTCCATTAGACTGCACCATTCACGAGCCTCAACTGAAGTCATTTCCATCCTTTACACTTTCTTTCAACTTAGATGATTCAGGGTCACAAAGGACCAATCACTGCGCTGGCGTTTGCTCCAGATGGCCGTTACTTGGCAACTTACTCCAGCACCGACAATCGACTGGCCTTTTGGCAGGTAAGGCCACAGGGACAGGAACGATGAGTTTGGGGATAAACAACTTTGGTCAAACTATTTTTCGCTTAAAAGTTACTATGTTGAGAAAATATATTATATCATACTATATCATTAAATCGTTTTTTTTTTTCTGGCTAGGTGGGCGAGCAAGTGTGCAGTGGTGACATCACTGCACACATCTGCGTGATGATGTCTCCCGCATTCCCACAGTGTTGAGCTGGGTTACTGTGTTGTGCTGACCACTTGCCCCCCACGACGGCCATGTATCCCACGCAAATGCACGGGCAGTGCTGGTTAATTACAAAAACAATGACTTTAATTGTGTTTGGTAAAGGCAGTGCTAAAAAAATATCTGTGCAAGAGTGCAAAACGGTTGCATGTTCTAAATACGAGACAACCGGTAACCATAGACCCCCCCATGTGCTCTATAATGTTGCATCATTATGGTGTGTGTCTAGGAAGTTGATCAAAGTGGACTAAAATATCTTAAGCCAAATGAGTCAATTTTTAAAAGCTACAGAGCAAAATAAAACTAGCATGTCAGTTGCCTAACAATGAAAGCGGTCTTGACAATGTACTTTAAAGATACAAAGGGAAATTCGAATATGACAAAAACATCAGATGTATGGTCGATTGGCAATGTACCCCTACTATAAATAATAATATTGAACATTTAATATCTCATGATTGTATCATACTTTTGCAGGCTTAATATCGTAATGTTTTAATTCTCTGTGTGTTTGTCAACTTTGTTTGCGTAGATGAACACCTCTCTTCTCGGAAGCTTGGGCATGCTAAACTCGGCACCACAGCTGCGATGTATCAAAGCGATGGAGGTTCCACCCTTGCAGCCAATTTCCCCAGGACCAATGAGTGCACTGAAGCTGGCTCGCCTCATATGGACCACCAACCGAAACCTCATACTCATGGCCCACGATGGCAAAGAGCACCGCTTCCAAGTGTAACCTTCACTCTCCTAACATGACTTAACAATCTTGTGTCAGGACTGCAGTTTATATAGTTTAGTAGGGGTGTTGTACCCTATGCACTGATTCATGTACAATCTCAAAGCATTACAACTTTTGTTGAGAATGCTGCCACAACCATTTTTGTACATTCCAAAATGCAGTGGCTTGTGTTATTGTCAGATTTTCCCCTTTTACAGTAAGACGAGCTCTGCTTTGTTAAGGCTGATTATGACATTTACACAAATGTTAAGGACAACACACACTCAAGTGTAGCTGTAGCCACAAGATCAGTGTGTTTGAGAAGTGTTTTTTGCACAATGTTTCATGGAAAAAAGACTAATTTCTCTAAATAAGTTGGTTCTTTTTGCTTAAGATTGGGTTAAAAAAATGCCTTATCTCCACAACAGAAATTAGAGTCTGTTAAATTTCTAGAACATTATTAAAAATCCTAATATGCTGGTCGTCTTTGGCAGTGTCCCATTTGTCTTTATTTTTGGTGGTAAAGCAGTGCAAGCACTGTGATGACAATATATCTAATGGCCCTCTCAAATAACTAATTAGCGTAAAATTATCTTTTCAGAATAGTTTTTTTAAATAATTTTAAATGACTTGTAATTTCGTCATTTAGTGATACGAATAATATCAGATTCAAAATGTTTCATTCAAAGGTATTGTTAACTAATTGTGAATGTGCTAAGCTTTGTCAGTTGGCACACAAGTTGATCATTGCTGTCCAAATATACAGTGAGGGACAAAAGTATTTGATCCCCTGCTGATTTTGTACGTTTGCCCACTGACAAAGAAATGATCAGTCTATAATTTTAATGGTAGGTTTATTTGAACAGTGAGAGACAGAATAACAACAACAAAATCCAGAAAAACGCATGTCAAAATTGTTATAGATTGATTTGCATTTTAACGAGGGAAATAAGTATTTGACCCCTCTGCAAAACATGACTTAGTGCTTGGTGGCAAAACCCTTGTTGGCAATCGCAGAGGTCAGACGTTTCTTGTAGTTGGCCACCAGGTTTGCACACATCTCAGGAGAGATTTTGTCCCACTCCTCTTTGCAAATCTTCTCCAAGTCATTAAGGTTTCGAGGCTGACGTTTGGCAACTTGAACCTTCAGCTTCCTCCATAGATTTTCTATTGTGCTTACTCTTTGGTTCTATTCGGTAAAGTCACGTAGGTAAAAAATAAAACAACAAAAATCACGACGTTTCTTCTTGAGCCACTCCTTTTTGTTGCCTTGGCCGTGTGTGTTTGGGTCATTGTCATGCTGGAATACCCATCCATGACCCATTTTCAATGCCCTGGCTGAGGGAAGGAGGTTCTCATCAAAGATTTGACGGTACATGGCCCCGTCCATCGTCCCTTTGATGCGGCGAAGTTGTCCTGTCCCCTTAGCACAAAAACACCCCCAAAGCATAATGTTTCCACCTCCATGTTTGACGGTGAGGATGGTGTTCTTGGGGTCATAGGCAGCATTCCTCCTCCTCCAAACACGGCGAGTTGAGTTGATGCCAAAGAGCTCCATTTTGGTCTCATCTGACCACAACACTTTCACCCAGCTGTCCTCTGAATCATTCAGATGTTCATTGGAAAACTTCAGACGGGCATGTATATGTGCTTTATTGAGCAGGGGGACCTTGCGGGCGCTGCAGGATTTCAGTCCTTCACGGCGTAGTGTGTTACCAATTGTTTTATTGGTGACTATGGTCCCAGCTGCCTTGAGATCATTGACAAGATCCTCCCATGTAGTTCTGGGCTGATTCCTCACCGTTCTCATGATCATTGCAACTCCACGAGGTGAGATCTTGCATGGAGCCCCAGGCCGAGGGAGATTGCCAGTTCTTTTGTGTTTCTTCCATTTGCGAATAATCGCACCAACTGTTGTCACCTTCTCACCAAGCTGCTTGGCAATGGTCTTGTAGCCCATTCCAGCCTTGTGTAGGTCTACAATCTTGTCCCTGACATCCTTGGAGAGCTCTTTGGTCTTGGCCATGGTGGAGAGTTTGAAATGTGATTGATCGATTGCTTCTGTGTACAGGTGCCTTTTATACAGGTAACAAGCTGAGATTAAGAGCACTCCCTTTAAGAGTGTGCTCCTAATCTCAGCTCGTTATCTGTATAAAAGACACCTGGGAGCCAGAAATCTTTCTGAGAGGGGGTCAAATACTTATTTCCCTCATTAAAATGCAAATCAATTTATAACATTCTTGACATGCGTTTTTCTGGATTTTGTTGTTGTATTCTGTCTCTCACTGTTCAAATAAACCTAACATTAAAATTATAGACTGATCATTTCTTTGTCAGTGGGAAAACGTACAAAATCAGCAGGGGATCAAATACATTTTTTCCCTCACTGTAAGTGAATCATTTTTGGCAGATAATTATTAATTGGAATCGAAGTCACATTTAAACCGAAATTCCGCACAAAAAATGTCCCTTCATAAAGTAGTTTTACATTTGTTTTTTGGCAACAGGTTATTAATATTTGCCACTGGATGAACAGAGAAAATAATATTGACGTATAAACACGTAATGTTACCCAAGGTTTCAGCAACGGAGTGTTTGGGCCTACGTCATTTGTAGTTTCCCCTGATATTTCGCAGAAAATGGCTGACTCTTTGATATTTTTACTGCCAACTTTGCAGTAGAATAGTTACAGTTTTCAATTGTTTGCATGAAAAAAATACTTTAAAAAATAATTTCATGTTTATGTATCTTGCTTAGTTTGTAAAGTTTCCTGCCTTTTGGGTGCTTGTGAAGGTTTAATATTAACTGTCTTACCTCGAGCATTGCTTCGTTTTCACATTCTTCCCCAATGTATCACTCCTGGAAGTTATTTTCTCTTGTTGGATAACCATGACAAAAAAATTTGAATCTTAAAAAATATATATAAAGGTTTTCTCGAAGCTGGAGGGACTTGTTCGGTCTTCATTAAGTTTATTCTCCCAACCGTCTGCGTTTGTTTTGTAATACTGGCAAGCTTTAAAGCAGCATTGAAATTTTGGTGGAGGATTTTAGTAGAGTGTGAATGTAAACATTCCAATAGTTAGGATCATCAATGAATATTTATTTAAAAAAAAACATTCGGCGACAGTGACCTTCATGTGTATCGAGCTGAATGCAGATTGTTGCTCTACCGTGTAATTGCATCAGCCCACTGTGTAAATTTACTTCCGAACACTCGTTTTCTGCAGTTTGATGTCAATATTTTTTGTCAATATGCTTTGTGTGCTGCTGTAATGCTACTAAGCACACAGGCACTGGTCTGTTTACAGACCTTTGCCTGCATATTGTACAGAGTACACTATATCGGTGTGCTTGCATGCATGCATGTAAGCTACAGTGATGGAATATATTTTTTTGCGTACGATTTATGTCAGTGCTGTAGTGTCACAGTTAGGAGGTTCTGGAAGCCAATTTATTTTACGGTCATGTAATTTTTGAAAGTGTGTTTGTGGGCATAACTGCTTTAACAACAGTTGGTAAATGTCCTTGCCAGTATTTATTCATGCAATTATTGAGGTGTAAGGAGTTCTGTTACACTTTTTGAAGTGTAAAATAATAAAATTACATGAATTACAATAAAGTGATTGAAAGTAATATCACGTAAAGCTTGTTGTACAGGGTTTTTTATGGTGTTGATTTCATTTTAATCGTGCTGCCAGCATCATAGAAAAATAAATCCCTGCAGCTCCCTATGACAAGATGCATGTCACACATGAGAAAAACCTGAATGATTCATCATAGACTAGTTAACACCCTTCAAGGAACACATTCCTGCGGAGGGAGCTGGTAGGAACGTTGGGTTGCTCGGTCAATGGCCAGGGTCAACGGCGGCACCACGTGGTGTATTCCGCAAATATGCCCGACTGTGAGAGCGGGCACAAGCCGGCATGAGTAGGTTAAACGTTGAGTTTTGTAAGGGCACCACGGGGTGACCAGCCCCACCCCACCCCTCCCACCCCCCACCCAGCCCCTCCCCACCCCACCCAGCCCCAACCCACCCTCCCCACCCAGCCCCTCCCCACCCCTCCCCTCCCAGCCACTCCCTCCCCACCCAGCCCCTCCCCACCCCACCCAGCCCCACCCCTCCCCACCCAGCCCCACCCCTCCCATTTTTGGATGCACGACGGGCGGACACAATAATCCCCTGTGGGCTGGTGTAACCAGGAGGTTCCTACCAGTATTAATTTTGAGAGCTTCTAGAGTCTAGGCTCTGCTGTATAAAACCAAGTGATGCTCAGAGCTGGGGAAGACCAACGTCACCATCAGCAGCCATTGTCCACTGTTGGATGAATGCCTCGTCACATCACCATCCCTCATGGTTCAATGCTGCTACCCTCCATCTCGGTCCGTCACAAGAATTGATCTCAGCTCCATCTCCCAAGTGGTCGTCCTCTTAACTGTGTTCTCTCATTTTGTTTCCACTAAATTACCCAGTCCCTGACCATTGGCCACTTTGCAAAGACAATAAGCTGTGATCGTGGCTGAGCTAATTTTGTTTTAAGTATTGCATTTTCACAAGTCTGGGTGTGTGTTTTTTTGCCATGTTAGGGGAACACGTAGGGATGCATTTGGGTCAAAGGTCACCTTTTTTGTGGTTGGTGAGGTAGGATCCATGTAGCAATTTAAAGAAGGCGGCGTGGCACTGATCTCATCAATACGCTTCTCTGCTCAGGAACGCCTTGGCGAGTCCCATGTTCATTCGGGAGGGTCCTGCAAAAGTTTTGCAGTCGGCAGCGATCATTGCTATTAGACTACGGTACATTGTATTCTAATTGATTGCGGGGGCTTGCTTTCAACAGAGTTTTTCCCAGTTACAAAGCAACGTTGGCCCGACATCCCACATATATTCTTAGCTCTTTCGGTAAAGTCACGTTGAAGGGAAACAATAAAATAATAAAATATATATAAAAAATAAAAAATTCTCACGACGTTTCGACCATAACACAAACGGTCATCATCAGGTGTGTCGTTTTGCGTTATGGTCGAAACGTCGTGAGAATGTTTTATTGTTTAATATATATTTTATTATTTAATTGTTTCCCTTCAACGTGACTTTACCGAAAGAGCTAAGAATATGAATTACTGCAGTCACGAAAGCTTTAAATCAAAATTCCACATTAGTTTCCGCCTGCCGGCATTTGGGATTCGTAGCCTATATTATTAATAGGGGACGGACCGTCCATAAATGACGTCACGCACCTGGGGGGGGGGGGTCAGACATTTGTGACGATTTGGGGCGAGGAGAGAGGGGGGGGGGTTGAGAAATGTGACGTCACATCAAAATGCGCAACTTTAAATAAATATAGACAACACGTTCTACTTAATTAAATATACTTTTTAATAAATGTTTTCTCCTACAACATCAGAGTGCAGCGCCACATTAAATACGCACTAGGATGACAATAGTTTAAAGCGATTTGAAGCATGTTTTATTTTGGGGGGGGGAGGGGGCAGAGCTTTGTGACGTCATATTTGAGGGGGGGGGGTCTGACTTTTTGTGACGATGGGAGGGGGGGTCAAAAAATCGTCCAAAATCGCGTGACGTCATTTATGGACGACCCCTAAGCGATGCTGACGCATATATTGAATAGAGCACTGCACAGGTACTGTGTGAACCAAGATTGGCGTGAAGAGAGGACATCGCCACATCCTGCCAGCATTGAAGCTGGTGCTGCCTAGCTCTGTGTGCACACGAAATTGATGGCCTATGGGTCCAGAGCAGGATGCTGCACTTTGGGATCGTCCATAAATGACGTCACCCCCCTCAAATATGACGTCACAAAGCTCTGCCCCCCCCCCCCCAAAAAAATATATAAAACATGCTTCACATATTCTTGGTT